ACTGACAAGGTGACTGGCCTCTGGAATGGGTTGCCTTCAGATGTGGTGGATGCAGTTGACTTAAGGGAATTTAAGGAAAAGCTTAATAAATATTTGAATAATAGGGGCTGACTTTGAGTATTTTTCTTTAAAGCTTTTGGTTTAATTTAGTGGATAGGACAGCCTAGATGGACCAAAAGATCCCTTGCTTCCTTTAATGATATTTTATGTTAAAATTGAAAATTCAGGTAAAATATAATATAACCAAGTAAAAAGCTTTAATTCTATCGTGCCTGAATGGATGCATCTCACCTTGTGGGCAGAATTGCACCATTGAATTAAAAAACTTGTAAAAAATAAACCTATTGTTGTTCTTTCACATACATTAAAAAAAAAACAACTCCAGAATTGAAATTTATCCAGTTTTATTTATTTAATTTCATACATAAAAATAAAATCTCAAATTGTGATTTTGCATTGATTTCATTCTGCTCTGAATGAAAACAGTAGTATTTGTGAATTTTCTTAGTTTTTTAGCAATATGGCACTCGTATATTATTTTGGTCAAGATAATGCCAATTTCACTTTTTAACTTGAATATAAATGTAATTTAGCATTTTTAGCCAATCACTGTTTCTTAACCTTGGTTGTTATGGTGTGATTTGATTGCTTGTACCTCAAGTCGTATGCTAGTGATTTTAACACATAAAGAAATCACTTTTTTGGATTAAATGAGCTTAAAACTTATTACATATGTTAAGTGAAATCTTCTGATTAATAATTTAGTAAATTGCATATAGTTTTGGTATTGGGAAAAAAAATATTTTTGTTATATGCCAGTGATTGTAAAGAAAATGAAGCTGCATGCAGTGCTTTTTAAATTAAAACAAAGATCAAATTTATAGTTTTATAAAAGGAAAACTTTATATGAAAGTTTTACAAGAATGTAGGAATACATAAAAGTCAATAATTAAGAAAAACATATTGTAATGAAATCTTTTTAAATTTTCAAATTTGTAACTTCATACAGTTATCTATATACTACTAAAACTCTGAGATTGTTTGTTTGCTTGCCTGTTATTAAATAAAGCAAAAACAGCACACAATAGCACCATATTTGTAAGAATACTGTACCCGCTAAAATGAGAATAGAAACAGAATAAAACAAGTTTGGTTAAAATCAGGCCATGGGTTACAGAGTTAATGCCATTTTTTGGGTCACTTTTATGAAAATTTCTAGCATGAGTAATTTTACATCACACTACCATTCCCGCTCTTTACGAAACTTTTTCATTCAAATCTATTTCCCTATCAATGTTCCCATCTTCATTAAAAGGTTAAGACGACAAAAACAAGATCTTGAAGAATTTCTCAATAATGAGCATTGGTTATGGTAGGTAAGGAAACGAGAAAATTTTCTCAGTTTAAAAATAATTCGCCGTGAGACAGTGAGAAATATTTTTCACTTGGTGAATTTCGTAGTGTATCAGTTATCAAGTTTTGCTGTTTCTTGCAGTAATTTCAGCAAGTAAGTATAAAATGTTTTTCTGAAATAGCTTTTGTTGGGTTTTTGATAGCAATTACGTTCTAATAAACCATGAATAACATTACTTATTTTCAAGTGTTTTGAATCAACTGTGAATAAGGTTTGTTCATCACAATACCTGAAACTGACTTCACTTTTTTGAAAAATGAAATGGTCTTTCCTTTTATTCCCAATCAACAATCAAATATCTTTTCTTGAATTATGAATAACACGAATGGA